TATTTTTTTTCCGGATATATATTTACATTCTATTCCATCATGGGTAAAACGTATAGGAAACATTTTTCGAAAATAACCAAAGGGCAATTGCGGAATCGCTTCAAAAAAATCGCTATTCATCAATGTATTAATAATAACAATACAATCTTGCAAAATCACGGTTTAATTATTGCACATAAAAAAATTAATCACGACCAATTACCAATCTCTACTCATTTGTCAAATTTTTCGCTTCAACAAGATGGGTTTGTTAGTAGTAACGATCATTCAAAAAATATAAATTCTAATACAAATGCCGTTAATTTTGAAACTCCTAATATGCAAGAAGATATTGCCGATATTGAATCATTTTTAACTTCTTTTGTACCCTCAATACCTGAAATTTCTTGTAATAATGATGAAAATACAATCGAACTTGATACAGTTGATGATTCAGTAGAAATTAACCGTTCTAATTTTAAAGTCATTCGCAATGCTTATGCAATGTCGGGTATAAATATCGAAAAGAATAAAATAATTTCATATAACTCATCGGAAGTTGAGGATGACGATAATAGTTTCCAATCACAACTAATTTCATGGATAATACAGAGTAATACTAATTTTGTTCATGCTAACGCGTTATTGAAAATTATTAGATCACATAAATGTTTCGAAAAAATCCCAAAAGATACACGAACAATTTTAAATACCAGTCGAAGAATCGTTAACGTAATTCCAATGGGTACCGGGCAATATGTGCATGTAGGCATTTACCCCGCTCTTCGCGATACTTTACGTAAGTTAGATGTAATCCCGAGATCGCTTAATTTATACTTAAATACGGACGGTGCTGCAGCAAACAGGCAGCAAACGAAACAATTTTGGCCCATCCAATTCAAATTAATTGATTTTCCTAATACGTTACCGGTAGTCGCGGGGTTATATTACGGTGCCGAAAAACCGAACGACGCTAATTTATTTTTTCAATATTTCATCAATGATTATGAACTAATCAAAAAGGGCGGTGGTATTATGTATAACGGTAGTTTAATAGAAGTAAATTTCGCGGATTTATTGGTGACGCACCAGCACGAGCCTTTATGCTACATCATCGTGGCCATACATCGCATTCTCCTTGTTCAAAATGTTGGGTAAAGGGGACCCATGAGTCGCGAAGAATGACATTTCCGGGAGTCATTCATAAAATCCGAACCGATGCCGAATATGATACGCGAAATGATGTACATCATCATAAAGAAGGTAATAGTCCCTTGAAAAAATTAGATATTCTACCTGTATCTCAGGTACCATACGACTACATGCATCTCGTATGCTTAGGTGTTATGAAGAAACTTATGGAAGCATGGATTGAAGGAAAGTATTTAGGTTATAAATTATCGGTAAACTCAACTATTCAAAAATAGCATTATTATCAACTCGTATTGAAGAACTAAATAAATGGTGTCCGCGAGAATTTGCCCGACGACCCAGCCCTATTGGAAGATTCAAAAAGTACAAGGCCACTGAATTTCGTCATTTCCTCCTTTATGCCGGTCCGAATATTTTAGCAGATTTATTGCCAAAGGATGTTTTCCAACATTTACTATTGTTTCACATCGCGATCAGGATTTTAGTTACCCAAATGGCGTCAGATTATTTATTAGAAATTGCTCAAGAGTTTTTAAAGCTCTTCGTACAACAATCTCAATTTTTTTACGGCTCTACGTTTATTAGTTATAATGTACATGGACTGTTACATTTAACAGATGATGTACGTCAGTTTGGGCATCTCGATTCATTTTCAGCGTTCTCTTTTGAGAACAATATGATGAAAATTCGTAAAAATATGAGGAATTCTCATCGCCCTTTCCAACAATATGTCCTCAGATTTTATGAAGATCAAAATTGCAATACTAATCCAAAAATTTCAGAGAACCAAAAGAAAAATGTCTTAATGGAAATGCATAGTAATGGACCGCTGCCACAAGATCATCATATAAAAAAATATCAGCAATATAAAAAATTTAAATATAACAAACTTTTTTTCAGTCTTGACATAAATAATAATTGCTGCATGATAATTAACGATACAATATGTGAAATCGCCAATATTACATCATGTGAAGATGAAGTTTATTTTATAGTTCGAATATTTGAAACCCGTAACTTCGCGTATGAGCATGGAATTACGTCCGACGTCCTCGGAATTTATAGTTGTTGTAATTTGTCACGTAATTATTATAAAATTCCCTTCGAATCTGTTATAAAAAAATGTTATAGAATGCCATTTTTTAGTAATAATAGTGAAAATAGTGAGTTCATTGCGACATTATTACATTGATGAATGACGTGAAAATTATCTTAATTTCTATTCAATGTTCTTACCACTTTATTATTTTCAATTGATTCAGCTCTCTTACTGCTAATTTTTTTTCGATTTATTCCAGTCTCAACCTCCATTGAAGCGGTTCAGAGGAACAAACAGATTTGGTCGACAGGTGATAAAACCATCCAAATATTGCACCACTTCGTCCGATGATGAGTCTGAACGCCGGCGTGTAAAAGTTAATGCTGAACTGGGTAATATAAATGACATAATAAATAATATTAATAAAAAATATTGTAGTGAAGCTTCCCAAGCTTTACCAATTGCTAGAAATAATGTTAATGATACTGATCTAATACTAGGTTCTGCGTCTACTCCGCTTAGTATTCCCGAAGCAATAAATATTTTAAATGACAATCATGATTTAATTGAATTAGAACCATCTACAAATTTGAAAACCAGTCCTAACTTGAATAATTATTGTGAAAAACCGTCACCTAAAATAATTAGTAACGAAAGAGTAAATTGTAACTTACCTTTTTTTAATTATACTCAAAGCACCGAATTGTCTGATAATAACGACGAAAGTCCGAATAATCAAAATTTTACCAATAATAATATTAGTTTATCTGATGACCAATTTAAAACTCTTTGTGGCTTAATTTTAGAAGTAAAGAAATCTTGTGAATACAAAATAGATTGTTTAAGGCAAGAAATGTTACAGAACATTAACCAAAGCACAAATCACTTTTATGCGGATAAACCGGGATTTTTACCTCTGAAAACTATAGACGAATATAATTCATTCATAAGTGAAAACAATACAACTGATCATATGATGCTACAGAACTATTTAGAAAAATACGGCGGAGTAGATTTACAGTCAACACTTAATAGTTTTTTGCATGTCACAATGACTCCCGAACTGTCATTGAATTTTAATTACAATAGAAAAGATAAAAATAAGCCTAATCAAATCATATTAGAAAACACTAAAATCAGTACAATATTTTCTAACGCGATTTCAACGTATTCATTCAGTCCTAATAACATCAAAAGTTTTAACTCATCAATGATTCAAGCTCTTAAAGCAATTAAGCAAAGACATTATGATTCAATAAAGAACAACCGAAATTAATATAATTATACACCTGAAAAAAAGGATATTATTAATTATTAATATCAATATTTAATTATTATAATAATTTTTATTAATTCTGTTTACTTCGTAATGTAATACTTTTCAACTCACTAATCCACATGTTCCTTTTTTTTTCTCATCAAAAAAAGATCAATGATGAAATTGGCGGTGGTGTATCACCTTGATAAATCACCTCATTTAAAAAAACTGAGATCTTGATTAAAAAAAAAAATTTTTTTTTTACTTTTTCAAAAACTTTTACTTTGTAATAATTTCAATGGAACTCGAAAAAATACTTACTAAAGTAATATCCTATTTTACTGATTTCTGAATTACATTAAAATTGCCATTTATTTTGTGAACTTGTGTACTGCTCCACATTTTGTTTGGATTGTTTCAGAGGCATTGATGAACAATAGGAGTACAACTTAAGAAATAAAGAGGAATATTCTGCCAGACGGAACGTAAGCAGCCCATGGATACAACACATCACTAATCAATTTAAATAATTATCAAGTAGTGATAACTTATAATAAATAATGTATTTCTCATAAATCAAATATGTAAACTGTATTTTTTAAATGTTCATTTATGTATATATGTTGAAAGTATAATAGAAAATAATTTTATTTTAATGAAATCTGAATTGTTTTTATATGCATGTAATTTTCCTGAAATCAATCCTATAATCCTCAATAACATAAGGCTTTTTTGAAATATTATTTGTTTATTTTATTTTTCTTTTTAAAAAAAACTTACGAATAATAAAATTAAAAATTTTTGCATAAATAATATAATAATATAATTTTCTCATTTACTTTGAATATTCAAATCGTTTTAAAATATCTAGTTTCGAATTAATTAATTATTAAAAAAATTTCCGACTTTTTTGAATCGAAATTGAATTCTCAACCCCTTCAATTAACCCTTTGATTGTTTCACATTCCAATAAAGCTCTGGAGCAATGGCTGCGTACAGCCGTTTTTAACCCTTTTAAATTTATTCCGCGGTATTGAGTAAAAAATAGATAGATGGCGCTAGGCTGTATTGCCCTTTATTTCGCGGTGGTTAAAAAGTTTTCACAGAGCCATCTAGCGTTAAATTTCATTTTCAGTTAACAAGACAACCGTATGGTGGCGCAGCAATATAAAGGGAATAATTATAAATGAGAACCACTGAATGCTTGAAAGAGGGGATAACTTAATACAGGTATCTGTCGTAATTCTGCTGCAAGTCTTACGGAAAAACTACAACAGAAATCATGCGGCAGACTAACGTCTGCCTGACCTAATATTCTGACGTTAGATTCCGACGTTAGTCTTATGTCTTTCTGTTCATCAGAAACGGAACAGACGTGCGTAAGTCTGATCTAAATATCTGACGTCAGATCTGGTTACTACATATGTCATCTTAAATGGGACTTAACAGCCCATTCTTATAAATTAACGAATTTTTCGTTTTTAGAATTTCACATGAAATCTTCAATTACTTTTAATAATAAAATTTCGATTAAACGATGTATTTTATAAAAAGTTTTAAATTCTATATTACCTTACAAAACAATGATGACAATGTGTGCCATAATACTCAGGCAACAAACAAGACGCCAATGGAGCTTCACATGCCACAATATCTCCTATCTGAATATTATTAGCAGCAACTGCATGCTTTCCAGCTGAAGGCGTGTCATTAATCATCACGAGCTTTGAAAGCCCTGGCATTGATGTGTGAATATCTCCAGTTAAATTAGGTAAAGTCACTGAAACAAAATTATTCGAATTAAAATTTTATTGAAGTCATAAATTTCTAATAATTCTCTTCATAAACCAAACGCTTCTTCATTTACTATTCTTTTTTACGGCTTTTTGGAATCTTTTCTGACAGCAGATAATAGTTGCAGATAATATGCACCTAGAAACTAAAGACATCGTATTACATCTCCGGTTAATAACATGTTTGCTATAATTTTTAAAAAGTTTTCAATATATTCCGATGACCTGTCATATGTGCATCTTTAAACTCATCGGAAACCTATAGATATAATTCATCATAGACACCATTATTGCAAAAATCTAATATTTATTACATGTGCATTAATGTACATTATAACATAAAAGAATAAATTAAACATTGAGATTATAAATGATAAATATTCGTTTATGTTTAATTACTTTTTATTAATGACATCAATTAAAAATAGTTTAAATCAATATATTTCATGCATAAAGTAGAAAATCTTTCATGGTTGAAATATTATAAACACCTAAATCAGAATAAATTTTATAGCTTTGATAATGTTGATCAAAATTATTTTCTCTAATAGGAATATGTCTTGGATTAAGGAAGCCTAAGGCTAGATTTCATGCATGATATTTTGCCGCTAGTCAGCGAAACTAGATGAGCATAAAGTAGTTTCATTACGCTTATTCTAGCTAATCGTGAATTTGATTGATTAAAATTTTATTGATGATTCATAATTAATCATTTGAAAATTTTTGATTGAACCCTCATCAAGTCATTGATATTGTCAACAAATTAGAAAAGTTCGTAAAACCTGTGATATTTTCCTTGAATCATTTAAAGTTCTAGAAATATCAAATAAATTGCGGGAGATCCTCAAACATTCAAGGAATATTCATTTCATTATTAATAACTTTAGAAGATTTAAAGCTCATCAAAAAATTTCGTTTTTTTCGAATCATTCAATGATCGAAATGTTAGAAAAAATTTTGTAATTCTTCATATCGTATACATTTAACGAAATAGTTATGAACAACTGTGTGATAGATTTGTGATGCCTGCCCCTACCAAGAGTCTGCTTTTAAACTTCTTGCAAACTGTTCTCAAACTCTTCTAAAATGGTGTCTTACTATATTCTAAGAATAAAATACTTTTTCAATATCCTATCTTTTACTTTTCCCCTGAGTCCTACTTTACCTTGTTTTTAAACATTGATCCAATGCTTTCTTTCAAAATTTTCAGAAAATAGATATATCGTTATGGTTCTAATATATGTGTGACTCAGCTGAAATGTAAAGTTAGTATTATAAAATCAAGGTCTTTACTATGGAAGATTGGTAACGTCGATTTTTTATCTCTTCAATGAATCAGCCAAGATAGAATTTGAATAGAGTAGATTTTAAGAAACAATTGACATAATACATTTTCAGATATCGTAACTTATTATTAATTTTACATATTAAAAAAATCGGCAAAACTACTGTTTTAATTAAGTTGAAGTTACTATTTTAATTTTTTTAATCTATCTCGTCATGCTTTCATAAGATTCAATCAGTTTTGTTCAAACCTACTTTTTCTCCACTTAATTTCCTGCACAAAGCTATTAGATATTTATTTTGATTATTTTGAACTTTTCTACTATTACTGTTACATGTATTTTGCATTAAACTTTTTTATGATAAAGTTTAAAAATGCAGAAGTTATTGTAGATGAATGAGAACTGACAGGTTTGATTGAACGATGGACATTAAATAACATTACAACTTTTCATATATTTTGAAAATGTGGTAGTATGATAGGCACGACCAACAGATGTTTGCCAGTCATTGTCTGCATTGTAGATATTCTATTTTTCAGGCTATAAGAATAAATTTTTCATAAATTGATTTGCTAATGACATAGATTCTAATTTTTAAACCTTCATCAAAAATATAAGTAATTAAAAGAATTAATATTTTTTTAAAAAATAAAATTTTCAATGCAATTTTTTTTTAATTACGTCGGACAAGTACAAAAACAGAGTTAATTTAGCTTTGTAAAACGTTGCAGTTTCTTGGTTGGGAAATATGAATAATGAACTATTGATAATCTTAAAGAAAAATGTAGGATTATGATCCAGACAATGATATGGGTTATTTGGTCCAGTAAAATAAAGGTTAAAATCCTGAAATGGATAAAAGTTGAACGATTTCTCTCCATGACAAGAAGTGTTCAGACATGGGCAAGGGTCGAAACAACCCCTGAAAAGTTTGTTTTTCATTTATCTCGAAAAATGTGCGAGATATAGAAGAAATTTCTATTGATAATCGTAGAGTTTGTGGTTCTACATAAAAAAGTATGTTACCTCCGACATTTCGTATATTTAAAGGAAAAAAGTATTCTTGGTATTTTTCTGTGAAGTTGAAAAAAAGGGCCTCAGGGGTACGCGATTGGTGCGATAGAGATGGCGCGATATATTGGCGTTCGTCACATTCATGTCGAGTTTCAAAGCATAATAAACCTGCTTGAAAGAAGCACAATTTAAATGAAATCCATAAGATGGAAAAAGAGGGTGATATTTATGTATTAAAAGTACACAATATCAAAAAAATCAAAAAGCTAAAAACAGAATATTCGAGAAATGATGATGAATGATAATTCAATTGAGCAAAAACAAGTGATTCATGATTCCACCTCCTCCTCTATGTACAATAATTTCTGTTCAAGAATTGCTACTACTTAGATTGGTCTTCCATGATAGTTTTATAGCATTCCTCGACAAGAAATGTTTTTATAATATGTAGTGTAAAGAGATTAAAGATGGAAGTAACAAGTTTAATTTATTATTATTAACAAAAAGAGTAAAAAACACATGTGCGTTGGAATAGTGCATCAATCGTCATGTACTCTATCTGTAAATGCTTGTATGTGTTTTTGTGATACTCACTCATTCTGTTTAACCATGTTGTTATCGAGTTATAGAATTCATTTAATAATTATTTTTGATATTATTTATTAATCAATAAATAAATTTGGAACGTTTAAATAAATATTCACAGCTCCATTTTCGAGGGGTACACTGTTGATTCGAAGTGTGTTACAGTAATCATACATACACGTGTTCAATGCTCAATCTTGTAAAGAAACTATACTGAGAACGATTTTCGCTGTTAAAAAGTAACATTTTTTTCCATCTAATAGAATTAAAATTTTTAATAATCTCAATAAAATATTGTTTTGGAATTAATGTCGTACAATATAGATTAAGTTTTAATGGTTACTTAAAATAATGAAAAAATAATTTATCGAAAAATACGTTTTGTCGATTAGGGGGAAAGAGGGTAAAGAGAGTAAAGAACGCTCGAGAAAATTTACTAATATATTGAAATAAGTTTAAAAGCGCTGATTGTGTTTTTTGGAAATAAATTCTTTAAATTATAAATGCATTAAAAAATATCAACATTCGTTAATAGAATGTTTAATTTGTTGATTTACGTTTTTTATTGGTGTTTCACTTTATCTCACCGTTTCTACATATGTATATAGTATTCTAATTATGTAATATTTGAATTCGATATTTTTTTGTACTAGCATGGGAATGTTTTCTAGTAAATCAATATACAAATTCAAAGAATTTTCGTTCTGTGTATACTAAATCTTCTTTAGTATTAATATCAGAATTACTATAAGCTCCTTCCTAAGCTAAAAAGTGTCTTCTTAAATTTTTGCAATGTGCTATCGAATATGGATTGTGTTTATCCACCCGAGTCAAAACATAGCTCCTATTTTCATCCTATTTTTATTCTAAGACTCCACTGCAATTCCCAGGATTTCACAAACGTGTTAAAATAACACGCGTAAAGTATGTTCAATGTAAAATGCCCATTAACAAACTATGCATGATTTGTAGACACTTTTTACACGTTTCTTAGTGTGTGAAAAATCTATAGCTTGTTTATGACATTTAACATTGAAGAGGCTTAGCGTTTTAAAAGTGTCTACAACTTGGATTTGCAGTGTATCCTTTCTTATTATAAGGTTTAACTTGAGATCAACAAATTCTCATTAAAGGTAGAATACGCAACAAATCAGCGTTTCCGTTGGACGAAAATTTTTTAATTTTACCCTAATGTCATACTAATTTTATTTTTTTTTACCTTAGCTTCATCTTACTTTTATTTCATACTTTTCGTGGTTTTAATTTAATTATATTTCAAATTCAAATAATTTTATTTCTATAAAAACATTATTATTCATAATTATTAATTGTATTTCAGTTATAATTGGGCTGTCGGTCAGCATTAACATCATTTGTATTATTACAAAAAAATGACTGTAATGAGAATTATTATAATATTGACCATGTTTATATTTGAAAGAGCAATTTTATTCAATTCATTATTAGGTTGTAACAAATAATTTGAAACAATTCAATTTTTCATAAATATAATAATTTTTAAAAAATTAATCTATTATCTGAATCGTAACCTTATTTTAACTATTTCCATAAGAACTTCCAGATATAAGCAAGTCAATTTATGAAATTGAAATCAGACTATTCTGTCTATATCCTAATTTTTTCTACTTAAAAAATGAAAAAGAATAATATTAAGATAAAAAAGGTTGAATCTAGGATAGAAAGAATGGAAATAGTATATAAAGAGGACATTTAGGTCATATATTTTGACTCGGGCACTAATTGGATTACCTGAAGAAAAATTTTTCTGTTAACAGATGATGTAATCCAGTCAATATAGGAGGCTTGGCTCCATTTTGTTTTTTGGTAATTTTTTTAATTATTTATAAAAATTTGTTTTTTATTCATGTATAAAAATTGCTTCATTATAATAAATAATACATTTATTTATTATATTAACTCAATTTTTTATTAAATTTTTTAAGTCAAATATTTGCCTAAAATAAGTAAAACTACAATTTTTTTATCGAAAATACGAGTTTTACATTCTGATAGTTGTGTCCTTTTCTAGCGCGTAGTGCCGCCTATAGTGCTGTCTTGCTTAGATACACGGGACCACTAAAATGCCAAAAAATTATATTAAAAAAAATCAGCGCACTTTCGTTTTTGGGCACATTTTTTTATAGGTCATTACGGATATTTTGACATTAGAAAATTAAAAATTGCCCTTTGTACAAAAATTTTCAACACAAATAGAGCCACGCCTCCTATATTGACTGGACTAATGAGACTTGATAAGAAAAGAAAATTTATGCAGGAAAAAATTAGACTTGTGAATGATTAGATTTCCGTTCGAATACCATATCACTACTGTCTTTTATCACATCTAGCTTCATTCTCCCTCAACGGATCGTTGAGAAGGTATCAATCTAAAGTGTATTATCTAGTACTTAATTTATTTAGTGATATAAGAGAGAGTGAATTGAATAATTAATAGCCATTTAATATTTGCCTAAGAAACGTCATTTTAAATGAGATTCAATAATAATAAAGAATGATGCAGTTTATTATGATTAATTGTTACAGGATAAAATAATTCTATGTGTTTTTAGCTGAGTTACAAAACTTTTATAAATAGTTAGTTCCAAAAAACTTTTAACTTTCGACTAATTTATTTTTAAATGGTTTTTTATAGTGATAGTTTTTGTCTCTTGCTCATTTGTTGTCTAAACTTCACTTTAAACCATCTTCAAAAGAAATTGAAAACAGTGCAATCAAACATTTGGCAACAACAATCATTAGTGTTTTCCTAAAATCTAAATAGGAAATGCTCTGTTGGTCTTGGACAATGTCCAGTTGCCAAGAGAAATTTATTTATCTTTTTTGGCAAAGAGTTGCATTTGAATAAAATCTATCATTGATGGTGACCATTAATAAAGGTTTAAACAAATAATTGATAAAAGGCTAGAAAGAATATTACTTACATTCACGGTAATTATTCTGGAATTTCACTTTTTCATCGTCATTAGAAGTTTTGTAAAGTTCAAGACTACTTTTTGATTGGCTGATGAAATGATGACACTTCTCTAAAGACTCCTTTCGTTTTATCCTAGTAAAAATAACCATTAATTTAATTAGAATAGTATATGATAAGTACGTTATGCGATAAGTAGATAAGTAGTTTATAGTAGTTAATAAGTATCTTAGCCTACTTAACAATAATAATAACTATTTCAAATGCTAATTAGGTGAGATTTTCTTTCATTCAATTGGATATTTTTCGATTCACTCATCCCTGTTCAATGATATTTTAAATTTTTTATCTATGAGTAATTATAATGGGTACAATGATTCAAACAAAAAATTCCGACATATCTGCGCATTCCGAGGTCTCTAGAGCCCGATTCTACTGTTTTACGTTTATGATCTTTTATCGTTTCATATGTTTGGAAAACTATTGATGGTACTAATTTTGAACCGAATTTTATTCGATGTGGAATTGCATGAAGATGAGCTGATTGGAGGTCAGGGTATTTTTATAAACAATAAATCAGATCAATTAGAACAACAAATGGAATATTTATTTCATAAATTGTAATAGAACACACAGTGATACTGATTTATGGGCCATCGATAAGTCGTGTATGCAATTTGATGTCCCCGAGATAAGTTAACTGTTCCTTACAGATTTTGAGGCGAGGAATCTGAATTCGTTGGTTATTTCTTTCTAAAGTTACCAATTTTTTTTATTATAAACAATTTAAATGATTGAATTCGATTTACGACTGATCTATGAGAGATATCAAACAAATATTTACACGAAAAGAGTACTCAACTTGAAATCTATAAATTCCGTATTTTTACTTTTTATTGCATCATTATTATTTTATGAGGTATGATTTATTGAAAACTTACACTCCAATTGTAATAACCGGAGAAGAATTTATTTTTGGGAAAGAGTTCCCACCCAATTCGAATTTCCTAAATTCAAGTTAGGCGCGAAGTGGGATTTGAACCTACGATCGCACACGCATCTGAGACCAGTGTTTTACCCGCTCGGCTATTCATTCAATAAAAATATTATTATGACTATATTAATATAAACGAATCGATAAGTATAATTTTTTAAAAGATTTACATTAATCATGATTTACTATTCTATATTATATGTAATATATATTTCTTTACAATATGTATACATATGTGTTCATATATTCACTATTATATAATGTGCTTCATTTGGGTTTAGTTTAAGTAATTCTAAGTTGGCCATAATAAGTAATTCCTATTCAATACCTAACTTTGACATGAAGTTCGACAAGTTAATAAGGTTATCATTACGAAGTTATTAAGCCAAGCGAAATCGAGCAAATTTTGGGATGTTCCTATAACACCTAAATAACAAATTCATTAGGCATAGGTTGGGAATGCCTAATTTAGGCTGATCTAAACAATTCCCAATAAGGGCCTAATGAAACTTTAGGCATGACCAAGGTAAATTCTACTTGGCAATAACGCGTACGCAGCTATTGCGTTGAGCACTAAACTATAATGCTGTTTTGTCGGTTTCACGTTTTACTTTTATCCCAATTAAGATATCATTTATTTAAAATTAAAATTACGTATAATTTATATATTTTTAAATATATAAACTATACTCAATTCTTTTGATATCTCCAGCTAATAGTTCGATTGGAGTGTAAGTCTATTGCTTATGAAGATTAACGATAATAAATAATTATCTTCCAACGAAGCACAGTTGGCACTTAGTATTTTTGCTTCGTTCAATAACCACAACCTGTTACCTCTATTCAAAGAAGGATTGTTCGAGGCATAAGCAAGTTCGATGATAGTATGATCATCTATTGACGAAGTACAGTTTGCGTGTGCCAACATTTCTTTATAAGGAAATAATTTATCACCTTCATCTAAGGGTGGACTTGTCAGGTTATAATTAGATTTAATGACAGTATTATTATTTACTAACGAATCACATTTAACGCTTTGTAATATTTTTATTAGTTTAAAAAAAAGGCTCAACTTAGATCAATATTTTGATTGCTAACAGCATAGACAAGTTTTATTGTAGTATTATCTTTATTTGATGAAGCACAGCTGGTCATTGCTTTTGTTTCCTCTAGTGACTAAGAATAAAGGTATGCAGTGATATGCATTAATTAAATGAGTGAGAGTATTTATGGAGTCTATTGAGCTATGATCATCTTACTGAAAATCTGGGAAAATTTACGTGTTCAGTGATGAATAACGTAATGTGGTTAATAATTAAACACCTAAGTGTTTACAATGTTGAACACCATAAATAAATTATAGTTTTTTGATAAACGGCAAAAAGCGTTTAAAAGTCGACTACAAAATTAACATAGTTTGTTTGTGATGTTTAACATTGCAAACACTTTGAGTGTTTAGTTTCTAAACACTTAGGTTTTCAGTGCTATTAATAAAATATAAACTGAAAATGTCTGTCTCCTTGGTTTGTATAAATGTTGGCACTAAAAAAACAAATAGTGCTACTGTTATCTACTAAAGAAAGATACTACTTCATATAGGATTTTTTAAAAAAATGAAGGTGGTACTTATGAAAAAAAGATTGATACTTATCTACTTGTCGAATTCTGTAGATAAGAAATAAGTTGAGAAATAATTTCTTTCTCTACATTCGCAGAACGGTTCACGTAGCTTTTTTCTTTGTGTAGTTGTATTGTTCTCCCTTTTTTCAACAAGAATGTGTAATAAGTTTCATAGAATACTTATTATAAAGGAAGAGAAGGTAAAGTAGAACACTCGACCAAATTGACTTATTTATTGGAATATGCTTAAGAACACTCTTCACACTTTTTGTTTATTTATCCATAAACGCATTTAAAATTATTAACATTTGTTGCTATATAGATTAATTTGTTGATTCATGTTTTTCTTCGTGTTCCATTTTACTACACCTTCTTCTATTAGTAGGAAGACCGAAATCATCTGTTATGAAATGATAAATGATAACAATTAATGCTATGAAGATTTTATAATAATTCTTTTGCATCCTTTTTCAAATCAATATTGATATTTAATGTTATTTTTTTAATAGAAGGGATTTCTTATGAAGATGAAGCTCTCTTTTCTTCAATTCTTGAATAGAAAAGATATTTTTCTAATATTACCCTAAAGTCTAATGTAATTTTGACTAATATTCATGCATTTGTGCAAATTATCATTACTTCGCATTTGCTGAATCAAATAATGATCAGTCGGTTCCTTTATTGCAATAATTGAAATTGTTTGTCAATTCAATAATTGAGTCAGAGTTCTAAATGTTCAATGATGTTGGTTTCATATAAACTAAACTCATGAAGGATTAATTATAATTTATTTGTTCAATCTTTGTTGATACACATAATTTGCATTAGTAAGGATTTCATTATAAATTAATGTTACAATTAATTTTGAATGAATTTTTATTGCTGAATAATATTCTCAATTTAATGTCCTCATGTGAAGGACTGTGGATATGTTAATCGATTTGTAACATGGGTACTGATATGTATATATCAAGGATGGGGTTGTGAGAGCTATTACACTTCTTTTGAAGATCGATATGTTTTGACGTACTTAGTACTGCTTTTTTTGTAAACATTCCAACACGCGATGATTCGATAACGATAAGGTGTTAAAACGATAAGGTGTTAAAATAATCGCAGTTAATTTTTATTGTTCTTAATAATTCTTCATACAATATTTATAAATTATGCCAAAAAGAAATTTTATTTACACATAAAATTTCAACGAAATAATTCTTTAGGCCTGTTGTACTTGTCAATATATAGTTCTTCGACAGCAATACCACTACATTCTTTAGTAGCTTAATCAACATGAGACTGATGGCAGACTTACGTATGTTGGCCTGACCCTAGAAGCTAGCCCTGACGTACGAATTTTTATCAGGCTCACGTACGCCGGTATCCGTCCTGATTCGGATTGTTATTTACTATCTGACGTTAAAATTCCTGACGAAAATCTTGAGTCTGTCTACTTTAGAAAAACGGCAGATACATACATAGGTGACAAACTTAAGTTAGATAGTGAATGGCAGTCTGATGCAGGCTAGCTACTAAGGCTGATTTTTGGCCAAAATATGTTTTTATGTACAATATGTAAGAATGAGAATATTTGATATTTTTATTGTTATGCGATCAGGGTTTTCATTGAGACCATCCCGGATAGCAAACCTTAATTGCCTATGTGGTCAGTACTACAGTACTTAGCTCCGCTCTTAGAGGCTTAACACGATGATAAGTACTATAACGCTGGTAAAGACCATTTTACATTTTTTATTCTACCAAAGAACTTCACTCTTCATATTGCGTCTTTTCTATACATCATTTAGGGCAAAATGAAATGCTCGAGAAAATATCCTTTTTATTATAATAAGTTTAAAAACGCTTATTGTACTTTTCGTACATTAATTTTTCACTTCATTTATGCATTAAAAATTATAAACATTGGTTAAAATAATGCTAAATTTTTTGATTTTAATGTTTACCCCCTCTTCCACTACAATTTTAAAAAACTATCGATTCTACCATAAAAATCAATCACGATATGACCATGAAAACCCTTATAAAAATGTTATGGTGGCCCATGACTAAACTTCCTTGGGGGATCATTTTCATGTTATCAAAGTCAAAATATGATCAAAATTTTTCCTCTTTTGGGCATGATCCCTATGAATAAATAGCTAAAAATGGTAAAATTTTTGAACCCCCATAAAAATAATATAGGACATTTGTGCCAAAAATCTCTCGAGAGTTTTTCATGTCCCATCAAGGTCAAGTAATGCCCAAAATTTCATCTTATTCGGAGATGACACCTAATCGGAAGTACACCCAAGGATCGTAAAAACAAACTTTTAAAAAAGTTGATATTTGTGTTCCTTGACTAAAAAACATAAAATTATTTTGCAAAATTTTACGGACATAATTTTGCACCCGGACTTCCGTCTTGATGAACTAAATCCTACCTTTTCCTCTGTAGATAATGTCAAGGTATTACTTAAGGGTTTAAAAAAACGAAGTCCGAATTTGATACATTTGAGTGTAGTCA